ATCAAAGAAGATATCATCCAATCTAAAAAAATGGTAGGGTAAGTTTGCAGAATATTCTAAGTTTAATAGTAATCGTGAATAAATCATCAATGGCGTGTGGTCGTCAGTGGTAGTTGGAAATTCACACTTGTTGAAGAATTGCTCTGTGTATTTTTAGCCATAGATCAATTTTGATCAACCGTTAAAATATCTAACCATTTTTCGTTTTGACAATCGAAATGATGTCATATTTTATACCAATAAAAAAAATCATAAATTAGTTATTTGACGATTATATTTACCATAAATGATTAGTTGGGGTGATAAAAATCAGAGTATCTTTCTCCATTCGGGAACATCCGATAAAAATCGGAATATCACATAATAGTTTACAAAATATGTAAGTATAGATTTGGTACTTTATAGGTATCAAGCATAGATTTAGTTTGGGTCCAAAATATACCCTAATTATACCAGAAGGAAGATAATACACCATATGAACCAAATTTTATGAACCAGATTTGAGTAGAGTAGGTATTTAATTAAAAGAGTTATAAACAAACGTTGCAAGTAGGGAAACGAACAATATGAAGGTGGGTCCCACATGGAGCTAAGCGTGTGTAACGATTGGATCTCAGCGACTCGATAGAGAGGTGGGCCCATCACTTTCAGTTCTTTTTTTTCATAGATTCTCTGCAAAAGTGTAATTGGACGGCTTTCTCTCTTTGTCCCCTAATCAACAATATTGTTTCTAATTACTATTGACATCGATAATAGGTTGAAGCATGATTTTGGGGAAACAAAATAGAGTATTGCAAAAAGAAATAAACTAAAAATATTTGGAGGTAAAAATTTTGAAGAGTGTTGACATCAAATGGAATTTTTTTTTTTTTTTGTCACACGGAAAACAAAAAGTTATTTAGGTTTTTTAGTTTTAGAATTAGAAGAAGAAAAAAAGTTTAACATGTTTTAAAAAAAATTGAAAGTGTCATGTATATATATAGTAGATAGATGCTCTTAATGTTTTTCTTCTATGAAACTACGATCATTTGGTTGATTATGAGGTATCTGACTTTTTTCCTACCTTCTAAAGTAAGATTAAATTATGCTAATCAAGAACCTAGGTAGCTTAGAACAATCCTATGGCATTTTTTTTGTCTCGTTGTTAGATTGTTACGTGCGTAGAACAGTACATTAGCTTTACGAAGGAGATAACGAAAAAGAAGTGGAATATATATTTCGAATACGGAAGAATAATTTGTTTTCAATGTTTCTTTAATTGACTAAGATGCTTTATTGCCTTTTAAGCCATACGCTCTAAAATATGAGCCATTGGTTGCAGTTTATATATCCCAAATACTGAGCATAGATATTTGAGAATATGCCAAATTTTAATTAATTCGACCCCCACAATCTACGGTCATTATTCATCACGAAGAAAAAAAAAGAAAAGCAGCTCTTTGATTAAAATCAAGAGAATTAAAACACTAAAGTCTTCGATAAAGTAAAAATAGGTAACTGTTAAGCAGTCAAGATAAATCCAGTACCTAGATACAGAATTTATGACTTTCTAGCTATTTATATCGAAGTTGACTTCGTACATACGTTCGTATCCCATTGTTGTGTAATAATTGTAGTCCATTGA